GATCCATGAATGCATGATGCTGCCAAGACCTACATTGTGCCTGGTTTCCTTTGCAATTATGTAGTGCTTTGCAAAAGTGAGGAGTAAAGTCCATGTTGTTGATCACCATGGGATCATCTCTTGGGAACAGAGATGCTGTGCTCCTGTGGAGCAAAATGATGGTGCTTTCCCTGGCTGTCTCACAGCCAGTCCTGAGAGCCTACAATGAGAGGCTCTCTGAGCTGCGAAAACCAGGTGAAGGGATCTTTTTGCTACAAAAACAAATAGCTTAATTCTGTCTAAACAAAAACTCAAAAGGTTTTTTGAAGGGTCTCTTCGGTATTTTGGGATTCAATTAGAACAGTTTTAGGGGGAAAAGAATCAGTCTCCTGATGTGAAGTAAAAATTGGAGATAACTTAAGGGAAGAAACTAAAGTGAGCTCAGCATTATCCCCTAATGGGCATTGTAAAAAGAGGCTCAGTCATTAAAATCTTAATTTTTCCTAGTCCTCCTTATAGAAGTAATATCCATTTGGAAGGCCATTTTCAACTGAGGATTCAGGAAGGGGCAGATGAGCTTTACTGTGACATGTACCAACAACATATCACCGTCCAATTGGATAATGGGATCTGTGTCTCAGGGCAGAAAACCCCCACTGAATTTTTGAGAGCAGTTGTAAGTGTAGGGAATTCAGTCAATGGCAGCAGGTCTGAAATTGCTGGCAGAAACCCTCAGCTGAACTGCTACACTTTCATTTTTAGCTATCAGAATACAGTTCAGAAATAAGGAACAGAGGGCGCTCTGGCTGATAATGACTTCCATGTATATTACTTGGCCCACTTGATTATGTCCAGTGAAGCCTTTCTTAATCATAAAGCACTCTCTCACCAGAAAAGGACACATCTATTTGGTTTCCATAAGCTGTCCAAACTTGGGATGCTTGGTGTTGAGATTCAGATGGTGATTGGAATTTATTAGTACATAATTAGTACAGACCTGTCTTTCCTTTTAAGATCTGGCCAAAGAATGCAGTTTGGAGGGAGGACAGATATAGGTCATATGATGAAGTAAGGGGGAGTATTTCTGCTCTAAAGCTGTAGATAAGCCAGCACATCTTGTTGATTTTTGAGGAGGAAAAAAAGGACCTTGGGTAGCTTTTACAGTCCTGTAAGATTAATATTTTTTTTTCTTTTTTAAAAAACAACCAGCAAACCAAAAAAAGCCCCATCACTCCAGGTCTCCCATTTGTGGTCTACCAGCCTGGAACAACTTGGGTCTTCTGTGAGTGTAGTCAGAGGAGAGAAACTGCTGCTAGTTCAACCTGACTTCTCCAGTCCTAAAGTCTGATTGCTTCTTGACACAGGAAAGGAGCACTGTATCATCCTTTTTGCTTATGATTAGCATGTTCTCATGGCCAGAATGGAGTATCCTTGGGCACAGACCTGGCACAGGTTCCTGAGATGTTCAGCATGGCAGTAAGGAGGCGATTCTCAGGTCCATATGGCCCCAGGACCTCCCTAAACAAGCAGAAGAGTATCTATTACTGCAGATCTAGATAGGATTTGAAGATAAGAAGAGCAAATATCAGCAAAATCCTTCTGCTGTAAGGCAGAGTGTTAAAACTGACCATGAAATTACAATATACAGAGCCATAGGGTAACTTTGGGTACAACAATCAATCTGAAGCCCAGCCAAACAGTTGAGTGTGGCTGGCAAGACAGGGCTCCACCACCAAAGGATTCTTTTTGGCAGAACAGAAGTAATAACAGACTTAGCACGGTATCCACAGAGGGTTGTAACAAAGCTTTAGGAGAGGTGCTACTCTTCTTAGAAATGAGCTCTATTATTCTACCCGATGAACGTGAAATTTGCCAAATACCTAGTATTGGTAACAGAGTCTAGCTATTCAGAATCCTCAAAAATGCCACCAAATAACTTTATTTTAAACTAAATGCAACTAAAAACTCAGTAATAACCAAAACAAAAAGAAAAATAGTGAAGTTGTTACCTGTAGTGAGAAGTAGGTTATGTGGCACCCACAAAAATAAAAATCCAAGTCATTCAGCAGTATGAAGCACAATACTAAATAGCAGCGGCATGAAAAAGTCATTTGAGGTGGTGTCTGGGGTGGTGTCACAAAACAGTTTTTTACTGTACTCTGAGGAAAAGTTCAATGCCTCGTGGTCACTGGCTGCACATACTTTTCCAGTCTCAGTCCCAGCTTCTGCGGGTGAGCACCCCTTCGTGAACCTACTACTACCTCCTCTAATGAACTGTATAGGTCTGGAAAGCTTGAGCACCTGGGCAAAGTTAGGCAAGTCTCCTGACGTCAGGAAGAAATGAAAATCTGGAAGAGCGCTCCATCTTGTACTTGGGGACAGGCTACAACTTCTTTGCATCTAGCTATGAGTTTGCAGTAAAAATATTACCTGTTGGGATTTGAGAAAAAAGAATTGTAAAGGACAAGGCTGTAAAGTTATTCCTAGTGTTTCATTTTCTCCCATGGCTTCACAACCCCAGTAGGCAGGTGGACTGAAGCTCCTTGTGGATGTATCATGCTCCTCCCTGAGGGAGAAAAGGTCACCGGAGGTGAAAATGTTTAAAATAATTGTTGAATTTCCACTCATTTGAGTAACAGTTTATGCATAGTACTCTGGCCAAGTTACACATCTGCCATTGGAGCTAACAAAATTATTTGTGTCATAGAAGGATATACCATTTGAGAACTCTATAGTCTGTAGGGTGTTATAAAACAATGTCATCGTTGTTGACTTCTGGTTTCCTTCAGTGCCATGCTCTGATCTGAGAATTGTATGGGTTCCAAATATACCCTTAGCTGAATGAAATGCTAGAGTTTAAGACCTGGTTCTCACTTGCTAGTCAGCATACTCATGAATCTACGGACATTAATATATATTGGGCCAAGCGCAAAGTCATACGGAAGGCAGTTCATTTGATGACAGCATCTTCCATAATATTACAATGATTATTTTAAAGTTTTTGTATATTTTGCAACATGAAAGTGCACATATAGATAGTAGTTATGAGTGTAGAGTCTCACCACTATTGAAGCACGTGGGCAATTTGCCATATGCAGTAATTCTGAAATTTTTCAACAACCTCAGACACAGCCTTCCCCAAAACAGATTTACAGATAATATCAAGGATTCTACAGAATAGCTCGATATAACCCCACTTTTCTGCAATAATCCATGAAAAATGACACAATAACATGTACGATTGCTCCCATATCATAGAATCATAAAATGGTTTGGGTTGGAATGGACCTTAAAGATCATCTAGTTCCAATCCCCCTGCCGTGGGATTCACCACCTTCACACCTTCACACCGCCTTCACACCTTCCACTAGACCAGATTGCTCAAAGCCCCATCCAGCCTGGCCTTGAACACTTCCAGGGATGGGGCATCCACAGCTTCTCTGGGCAACCTGTTCCATTGCCTCATCACCCTCGCAGTGAAGCATTTCTTCCTTATATCTGATCTAAATCTACCCTCTTTCAGTTTAAAGCCATTGCCCCTTGTCCTATCACTACATCCCATTGTAAAAAGTCCCTCTCCAGCTTTCTTGTAGGTCCCCTTCAGGTACTGGATGGCTGCTATAAGATCTTCCTGGAGCCTTCTCTTTTCCAGGCTGAACAACCCCAATTCTTTCAGCCTGTCTTCATAGGAAGGGTGCTCCAGCCCTCTGATCATCTTCATGGCCGTCCCCTGGACTTGCTCCAACAGGTCCATGTCCTTCTTATGTTGGCCACCCCAGAGCTGGATGCAGTACTTCAGGTGGGGTCTCACAAGAGTGGAGTAGAGGAGCAGAATCGCCTCCCTCAACCTGCTGGTCACACTTCTTTTGATGCAGCCCAGGATACAGCTGGCTTTCTGGGCTCCAGGCACACATTGCTGGGTCATGTTAAGTTTCTCATCAACCAACACCCCCAAGTCCTTCTCCTCAGGGCTGCTCTCAATCCATTGTCTGCCCAGCCTGTATTTGTGTGGGACTGCCCCGACCCCATAGGCAGGACAAAAAACCAAAAAAACTCCGACCTCAAAAACCCAAAAAACAGACCACAAAAAATCCCTTCCACATCAATACATTTTACCTCCTAAAAAGTAAAAAAAAAAAAAAAGAAATAGACCTTCTGTGTCATTTTTTCCTTTAAAATTTATGGCACATACATAGAATATGTGACTATGGTGTACTGCAGTAATTTCCATCATTTTTAGGGTAACTTGTATGTTCTTTACTGCTCCAAAGTAATTCCAATCTCATGCCAACAAATCAGTTTGTAAATTTTTTGAGAAAAGATCCTGGTTTTACTTAGTGTGTAGTACAATAAAGACCAGGACCTTCTGGATGAGACTGTAGATGCTGCGGTAGTATAAATTAGTAATAGGAACTGTGAATGAGTTTTATGTGACACTACGGGCTCTTTCAAGAGTTTTTCTTAGGTAAACATTTAGCACTTTGTGCTTATATAAAGCTATCTGTTCAGAAACTTCCTCCTGGATACAGCTGCTCCATATTACACATCTCTGATTTATATTAGTGTATGTTAAGACAAATGATCACTATGCAACTGCTGGGAATCAGGTTAATTTAGATTATTTTTCTATATGTTCCTGACTTTTGCAAACTTTCGATTGAGCTCTCAGACAGGTTGCCTTCCAGAAAATTGCCCGGATGAGATTTTAGGGGCAGGTGTTAACTGTGGAAACCTGCTTAGTATTAAACGTACCTGTCTCATTGCTACCGACTTTGGAGACGATACGTTTAGATTTTTTTTCTGGTCATTGTTCTTCACAAAAGACCTAATTGAAAATATCTGTCAAATCATGTCTCTGGTTTCCCTCTTCTTTACCCGCCATTAATTGGACACGTATTGTGTTTGTGTGGGAAGGAAGGAGGCTCTATAGCAGTATAGCAATATTGCTGGGAAAAGAACATTAAAATGGATAAAGGGATTTCCTAGTGGTATAAATACCTGCACACGACCTCCCCATGCTCTAGAGCCCTCCTGTATATGTATATGCAGGCAAAAAGCCTGGAATAGAGTTTGAGCTGCCGTTAATCGCGCAGGATCTGTTCTATTAGAAAATAGGGGCAAGTAGCGCTTTTGCCTGTTGGAGGGTATGACTTGCCAAGCGTTTGCTTCATCTGACACCTTTGTACCCTTGAATTCTGACTCTTCTCCCTCTCTGCCTCTGATAATGCATCACAGCGCCGCAGAGTGCCTGCCGGTTTCTAACCATGCCACCAATGTTGTGTCTACAGGTACTTTTTAAAAATAATCTTGCTCTCAGTAACTCTCGTTTGTAATGCTTTTGGATGATACGTGTTCATCAAGTTCTGCAATATTTAGTGTTTGGTATCAGTGCTATGTCAGATAGTCATTAAAGCAGAAGCATTTTCACAAAACTCTGCATGATAAGTGAATCAGGAACACCCCAAATGTTTGTGTTTTAGCTAAATTTGTAACTTTCTCTTAGTTTGTTACAAGATTAGGCTCAAGTATGCTACCAATGCATTAACTTAGAACAGGTTCAAACACTGTCACTGTTATGGCTATATAGTCTTCAATGACAAGTGTCATGTAAATTAATTGAAAGTTTATTATGTAACCGCACTTTAAAATAATATAAACTACTTTAAATAGGAAATGTATTTAAAACAGGTCAGGTCTAAATATTATTTGGGGAAGCTTTCAAGAAAGAAAAACATTGCTTTACAAAGCATATTGCACACAGAATCAAGACTAAGATTTAAGTGGGATGTTCAAAATTGGTGGCAGAAGTCTCATCAATATTTTTGAATTTTGTGTGTTTATATAATCCAATTAATTGTATTTAAATACTAGGACTATGTAATCACTGAACTATCCGAGAGAGAGACAGAGAGAGAAAGAGAGTTTTCTTGCAGCCTTAAACCTGCAGAAGTGGGATTCTGGAATACAGGAATTGTTGATGGAAAGCTTTCAGGAACAGAAAAAGAAATAGTTTTGATTTATTTGAAATTGCATTAAGGTGAGAATTTTATTTGGAGTCTTAACAAGAAACTAGCCTTCTTTTGAAATGCATGGGTAATAAAACATTTTAATAATAAGAAAAAAACATGTAAGCGATGAAAACTGAGCACTGATGATAGATAACAGGATCTTATACATTAAGCAGGAGGCTCAAAATATCCTAATACGGCTGTTGGTTAGCAGTGGTAGTAGGGAATAGGAGAATTTAAATTTTGTATGAGGCCAAATTTGTGTATCTGTATCAGAGTAGTATTTTCTAAATTTATCTGATTCATAATAAGAAGTATATGGTGACAGCCAGACAAAAGTCTTTGCTCATCTGCTTCAGATTTGGGGTTTGATATTTTGTAGTTACCACCTAGGAACAAATACCACTGTAGTCAGTGGGAATTTTGTTTGCAGGATCACATCTAGCAGATGACGCTGTGAGAATAGAAGCAGTGACAAAGGATGCTAACTATAAGGAGTAAAGGTTTACAAACTTCATATGTGGATTCAGAAATTGTGCTAAACAATGCCATTCTGGTGAAAGCATCTAAGGAGGATTTGTGCACAAAATAGATGTGAAAGGATTTTGAATAATGACTTACATTAAATGTCAAAATTTTTTAAATGCATGTGACAATTCTGCATCACAAAAAAGAGGTGAATATACTTCTGTTTGAATACTATACCATGTCATACAGCTGATGTTCTGCAGTATCCTCAATACTTTAATTGTTATTATTTAATTTAAATAACATTATCCTCACTATTTAATTTTAGATCCTTATTAGCAAGTTGAAAATGCTATTTTTATGCATAAAAATTATAGTCTATGGATTATTAAATAATAGAAGAAAAAAACACCAGCAAACACTTAGATCTTATCTTAACAGAAAAGTTGCATTGCTCTAAATACATTAGTATTATTAATGCAATCTTTATTTGGGGTGCATTTATACTAGTATAAGCATGCCTGTTTTAGTAGATTTTATATCTGTATAAATGTATCTAAACAGGACATTTTACTGTTATAATTACAGTTGTAAAAAACACAAATTCTAATCCCTAATTAATTATATTGTATTGAACAACTGGAATGTGTGCTCTGAAGTGCAGTCTTTCGTATCTGAATGTTCATGAACATGAATTTTTAATATTATACTTTATAGCAGTTGTTAGAGGGGACAGTATATGCATTTCTGCACCTACTTATGCATGAGAAACAGCCATATCTCCCATTTTGCATTCAGTAAAAAAATTGTCTCATTCTTCAGGCACTGGTGATTACTGAGCACAGATCTGAAACACCCCTGTGAAAACACTGGAGATAAATTAATTGTGTGTTTGTTGGTACTGATGATGGAAAATGTTGATTTAGGCCTAACTTTTTAGAAGAGCTCAGAGTCTATCGTCTTGTTTCCCTACCACACATCCAAAGCACTCTGAAATGTTTTTAGTGGCTTGGCACTTAAGAAAATGTGACTTCTGGATGCCTCAAAGCAAATGTCCCAAACTGCTGCTTTTGGAACCCCAGGTCTTAGGTACGCATAAAACGTTGCCTTCCTTGATGCCTGTGTTCACTGTGGGGTTTGCACGACAGTGAAGCCAATCAATTTTCTGGGAACACAGGGCACGTTTTTAATGTAAGATTGAATTAAATGTGTGTGGAAGTTGGTCGGGGAGAGGAACTGGTCTCCTCCTGGAGAGTTCATTGCTTCCTTTGCTCAGCAGTATATGTAAACTGGGTTATGCCCATAGATTAGACTAAAAATAACACATTGAGACCACAGCATGACAATTTCAGGTCTTGGCTCAGAGGGTATCTCACTATTTATACTGGCAGTCTCATCTGTTGTGACCTGGCCAAGTGTCTGGGCTTCCAGCAGTGTTAACCTGATGGTTATGGCCCAGAGTTAAATGCTTACTGAATGCACACAAAAACTACATACAAGTCTGCTTCTGAACTTAAGGGCTGTGTCTTGAATCCTCACACATTTTCTTACCAGTCCCATCTGTTTTGTCTTTGATCCAAACTCCTATATGCTCCCGTATCTGCTTTGCCATGACGACTGGGGGAAACACTTTGGCAGGCCTTCATTACTCTGTGCCTTCCTGTCATTATGGAAATCAACCATCTACCTATGGGGTGATGGCAGGTAAGAGACATACCCTCAACTGGATGAGCTATTAGCATGTTGATTTTCGTCAGTTTTCCTTTAGAGGGACTGATTCAAGATAGTTGCTTAAAGAAGACAGGACTGGGGTTAAGGCACTAGAAAAAGGGTTAAGAAATTAGAGGTCAGTGCCCAGAGTTTCCCCGAATCTCTGCATCTCTCAGCAAATCACTCTTGTGTCTTATTTCTCTCTACAAGACTGGGACAGTGCTGCTCTTTTTGCTCACCTATGTCCACTTCCCCTGGTGATCGTCACATTTTGAGGGACCAGGAGTGACGTACCCCATATACCTGTGTATTACCAGTACTTGGGGTGATGGAGCCCTGACTGGAGCTATAAAATAAAACAGTGGCATAATGGAAGGATAGCTGAATTCAGCAGGCAGATCATACAGATGATCGTGGATTTTTACACTCATGAATGTATGCTAGGAGCGTATGCTAGTATCCTGCTCAGTTTTCCATGTCCCAGGCTGAATAAGAAAGAGCTGTTATTCTATGCAAGTTCAAGTAGCAGTCAATGAAATAATGCAATAAACCAAATGAACAGAACTCCCAGGAAGTAATCGTGACTCAGAGCTACTCCAAAATCAAACTCAGCATTTTATTTCATTTAAGATGAAGGAAATATTACAGTAAGTCAGCATAGATGAATGCACCTGTATAGGGACTTTTTATGGATGGTGAATAGACTGCCTTCACTGTGTGCAAATGTCCAAATGCTCCTATTTAATTGTCCATTAATGTCTGTTGCAATCGTTCCTGGCATTGTTCAGATCCCCGGGAAAAGTACATAGGTACCAAACAAAAGGTATTGCTCAGAAGTTCATTGTGTTTCATTCCAAAATAAATGCATCTTCATTTTTCTCCTTTCTTTTTTTCACCCTTACATTTTAGGCATCAAACCTGCAACTCCAGAGATGCTCTCAGCAAGTCTCTCCCAGAGTCGCATCTTACAGACGTGCAGCATGCCACATCCCAATGTGGTAAACGGTGTCAGCACCTTGCAAAGCAAGTCCTTCTTGTTTTTTTTAGTCTTTTCCTTTATTTTTTGAGAAAAATCCTCTTTTGCAGTTATCCTTTGTGAAGCATATAAAGTATTCCTATGGGGTTAGATCCTCCAGTGCTGGTGAGAGCAGTCGGGGCAGTGAAGATAAGAAAAGTAAATAGAGGAAGGGGTGGGAGGTTAACGAAGCTCTGAGTTCTGCTACAAAGTTTTGTGTAATTTAGAAAATTGGGAAGGATGTCCTCAGAACCTGGAATTTACTGGCTGCTCCAGATAGACTGAAGAGTGTTAATATTTCTCCAGTTTTTTTTTTCCCCTTCAGGTCAGAGACTCTTTAGCTCTATGTGCAATATCTAGTGAAAAAACAGCCATTACTTTTAACTGAATCTCCTTGTTAAGTCTGATAATTGTGAACAAAAGGTATCATGAGATAGTTTTGTTTTGTCCTTTAGCAATTTCTTTTTAAGCTAGAACGATCATTCTGAATGTGTTCTGGGTTTTGTTGTTTTGGGTTTTTTTATTATTTTTTTCTCTTTGAGCTCTTACCTGTGTACTTTCCTCAAACAAATTTTATGCTGAAGTTAAACCAAGGTAGTATTGTCTGAGCATCAAATGGTATTTACATGGAAATATTCTTTGTACCAGAAAATGGACTGGCACATTTTAGGTGGCTCAAAATGACATAGATCCATCAATCTTGTTGTGCCACTTAATTCCAGCTGAGGCCTTGGATTGCTATTTGTTTAAATTCGGACCGTTTACCATCTTATTTAAGTGCATCATGTTTGATAAGAAGTAGGATGGTTGTGGCCTGTTAAAGTGGCTGTTGGTTGGTTTTCTTGTATTGGGACCAGAGAGAGACCGTATCTCCTAGGTGATCCTCACTCTTGGATACTTTTGCATATGTTATATAATAAATATTACAGACATGGATTATGAGATGATGAAGGCATGTTTTATTGTGTAGCAGTAGAGAATAACTGTACTGAGTTTTCTTTTTGGTGTTGCTCAGGTAGCCTGACCCCTTGCCTTTATAAATTCCCGGAGCATGCCCTGAGCGCCAGCTCCTGTGCCCTGGGCCATGGCTTCACGCCCATGCACCAGTCCCTCCTCACAGACAATCCCGCTGCCACAGACTTCAAGCAGGAGTTCCGCAGAAAAAGCAAGTCTGTCGAAGAGCCTGTCGACATGGACTCTCCTGAAATCAGGGAACTGGAGAAATTTGCTAATGAATTTAAGCTGCGGAGAATTAAGCTGGGTACGTGCTTTATGTCCATGAACAAAAGGCTGAAAAATTCCAGTGAAAGCCCAATTATTTCTGAATGTTTTATGGTCTAGCCTCTGCAATTGTCTAATCATAACTAATCCTGCTTTGCACTGCCAAACTTTCTCCATTCCTAGAAGACTTGCACAGAATTAATGAACTTCAGCTTTTTGCAACTTAGTATGCAGAAAGTGACTTTAAATTTTCCTGCCCTTAAATTATTTGTCTTAAGTGCAGAGAAAATTATTGCTGTTCATTAAATTATATTCAGTAGCAAGTGTGTTATTTTGCAGAGCCCCAAATTTTCTGCAACTTAGGGCAGCACACGCTCTAACCTCTCATATCCATCCTCTTCCCTATGAAGTGCTTCATCTAATGGCGCAATGTCATTTCAGTATGCAAGATGGGTGACATCCATGGCAATTCTTTCATACCAGTAGGAAGCTTCTCTTCCTCGTTTATTTTCTTGTGCCAAGACACAGGTACAGCAGCAACTGATATCTTTGATGCTGTCTGATAACTACTGCGGCTGATGCGAGATGGATCGCATTAGAGGGTCTCCAGTGGTGCTTGTCTTTCACTGGACAATCTTAGCTGAGGACAAAGGTGGACTCAGCCCTGTCTTTCTCACCTGTAGGAGATAGAGGTACATTGCAAAGTAGAAGCCTGTCTCACCCTTGTTTGAACTGTACTGAAAAAAAATAACATCCAGTACTGCAGATTCAGCCCACTTACGAATATCGGGTACTCCGAATGAAGCGTTGCAATTTTGAAGTTATTGCTTATAACATTACATTGTATCATTACAAAATAGGGCATCCTTCTAGCTTTATAAATGTAAACAAATTATAAGGTTATTACAGGTATCTATGCATTATCTTAACAGCTAGAAAGCTAGTGTGTTCCATTTGCAGTGTTAAAATAAGGACTGAAACACAAATTTAGGATTTATAATAGTATTTGCAACTTAGTCAGTTTTGCTGTATATCATGTATTTAATGTCAGCCACAGCAACAGAAAGGTTTGCTAGGCCCCATGCTATTAATCACTGTAATTATTACTGCATCTTCATACTGAATTTGTGAGGGAACAAAACTTCCTCTGATGCAAACAAATGACACAGAGCTTGTAAGACTGGGCTTAATGCTCTGATGGGAAAAAAGCAATTTGCACAGGAAAACTAATCTGAGGCTGAGCTTTACAAGGGAAGACAGAGTTAATACGGGCTGTGGGTCTGAGACTGAGAGAGACAGAGGTAGTGCAATCAAAATGGAGGTAAAAAGCTGCCTCGTGAGACATTCAGCATCTAAAGAGATCCTGCCTGTTCTGGTGCAGAGGCAGAAAGGGAGGATGATGAGCCAGACCCTTCAACATGGCAGGTACACATTTAGAGCACTGAGTGGGGAGCTGCTGTTACAAAGTCAGTGTCTGCATGGAAACTGCAGCATTTCTCTGATCACTTAGTTGCAAAAAATAACAGGAGACCAGCAGTGCTGCCAGGGATTAGCTTATTGCCATTGCACCATCTATAGAAATAAAGATATGGGGTGTCTGGATCCTCCTCAAATCCCTAATCTTGGAGTGTAAAAGTCCACTGAAACCAAGAGGAGACTGAACACTCTCTGAGGAGAGCTCAGAGTCAGCCACAGAGACCTCTGCGGAAAGCCCATCCTGAAGACACTGCAGGCACACACTGTTCATAAGAGTCAGCAGTGAAGGGCTAAACGTCTCAAGGAAAGTAACCCTTTCCAGAAAGCTCCAAAGTGACTTTTTTCCTCTTCATTTTTGACAGGTTATACACAAACCAACGTTGGAGAAGCACTGGCTGCTGTACACGGCTCTGAATTCAGCCAAACTACTATTTGCCGGTTTGAAAACTTGCAGCTGAGTTTCAAGAACGCATGCAAACTGAAATCAATACTGTCCAAGTGGCTGGAGGAAGCAGAACAAGTAGGAGGTAGAGAATTAAAATCCTATAAATATTGATTTGCATTTAAACCAGAATCCTATATATATGTTAAAGGAGTAGTACGTGTCTTCTATAGACTAAAGGTTTTGTTTTACCAGCTTTAAATACTAAGGCTGTGCTTATATCAAATTTTGGTTATCTTTTTTGGGTGAGCAAGGAGGGGCAAACTGAAACACATGGAGGGTACAGAGTAGCAGAAACATCACTTGGCCTACTGGAAGTAATCTCTCTCAGTCCCATCCCAGCAAACTAGCTCCACTCCTGTAGCATAGGTCAGAGCTGTTATTAGGATCTGCAGGATAGCCCATTTAGCAGCATACAGGGATTCTTCACTAGCAAAGGACTCTTCCTTCCAGCCTCTGGCATGTGAGATGTGGCCATGGGGGAAAGGATTTGAGTTCAGCTGAGGCAGTGGTCTTTAAGCCCTGAAGAAGAATAGCATGGCATAGAAGTTTTTGATGCAATCTTTTTGCTGCTAGAGGATTCCCTTCCTTTTGCCCAATTACTTTCCAGTTGCAGGAAGAGTCATGGGGTTCACTGGGCAAAGTGTACTTTAGAACAGATTGGTTGATTTAAAGGAAATGGTTTGCCTTAAAGAACAGCCTTTTCAGCTGGATGAATTGCGCAGTATGCTTGGAGGTGACAGTGAAAGCCGGGACTACCACTGTGCAGCACTCACCTAGCATGGGAAGAAAGAGATGATCTTAATGCTGCTTTTTGGATTTGCCATTGTATTCAACAGTAGGAAAGGCTGTTAAACAGCTGCTTCTGCCATACAGTTCAGCTTCCTTTGAACCAACTGTAGAAAGCTTCCTTCCCCTGTAACTGCACTAGAAACCAGAGGCTCTCCTGATGTGGCCGGCACATCACAAGAATCGCTTGTGAGGGGGTTGTGGTGGGTAGCAGCTGCTGACCGCTTGAGCTGGAGGGTAAGATCATGCCTGCAGGCAGCGGCCTCTGAGAAGCAAGGGGGGACTTGTCCATCAGAAAGTGGTGTGGAAGAGGCAAATGAATAAATGGGGTTGAGGGCAAAGGCTGTATTTCTGAAGAAAGAAGGTGAGGTAGCCAAGCGGTGTGGGAATGGACTTCAACTGCCTAGACGGTATCCCGCAGGGTAGGAGGAAGAAGGTATGTCAAAGGAGGGGGCTGAAGTATGGCTCCACAAGTACGTAGGCACAGAGCCAGCGCTGTTTGCAGCTTTACTGGTGGCACACCATCTTTCTTATAACCACTGGAGGTAAAACAATGACCAACTACCTTAAAGAAAGAAGTGCTCCTATGTATGCTGCTGTTCTTATTCAGCGGCGTTATCTGTTATGCTTTCTTCTGTCTTCAAAGAAAGGGACTTTTTTTCCTGGAGATGATTGTGCTTGTTTTCCATTCTTTGTGGAAGGTAACTGCCAGGTTTTGTTTTGTTTTTAATACAGCTTTATACAATGAAAAAGTTGGAGTGAATGAGAGGAAGAGGAAGCGCAGAACCACCATAAGGTAATAAATATTTAGGGTGTTACATGTTAGAAACCACTTTGGCTAAGATGCTTCTTTTTCTTGAGTTCAAAATCAAAGTGTTATTTTCTATTAATGAATCTCTATAGCTAGTGTTTCAAAATGTTTCACTGTTTTGAAACATTCCAGTGAAAAACAACAGCATAACCCTCCAAAACCCCAATTTGCTCCAAATATACTACTTTTCCCAATTAAAGACTTTTTTCCAACATAAGTCAACACACTTAAATATGAAAAAATATTTTATTCCAATTCTGCCCCAATTTTATGATATCTACATAGTGAATAAGGTATCAGAGCACCCTTGTTTTCATTTTGGGAGGTTCTACATTATACCAAAATAAATTGCATTATTTTGACAGAGAATTGAGGTCTGGGAAGTTTGAGGTCAAGCTTGTACACATAACATTGCATCCCTGTCCCTATCCTCTGTTACTGGATTCTTTGGAGTTCCCAAAGAAACAATTTAATGAGCTGAAGGGAAAAAAAGGGAGTTGTTCTGGGAACCTCCTCCTGTTTCTCACATCTCTGGTGGCCAACATCTACCATCTATCTAGCCTCAACTCCGTATGGAAATCAAGTAGGCTGGTAAATCGTATTACAAAACCAATTACCAAATAGGCAAAATGAGAACGTGGGGTATTTGCTTCTCCTTTAGATATCCCAGACTCTTATAACCTTTGGTGAAGAAGAATTCACTCAGGGGGCCTCCAAGGAACTGTAGCATTCTTCTACAGGAAGGGAATTTGGCTGCCTCTGGGCACAACTCCGGTGCCGTTGGGCCCTACCCATTACAGTGAAGTGCCTATTCTTTGAACAGGGATCATTCCCGATGTGCAGTGCCACCTCCTGGAGATGTAGGCTGCTCTGTTGTCCCACAGCCACAACATGTACCTTCTCCTCTCACATCCAACTTGAGACGTGTTTTTTGAGTCATAGAATCATAGAATAGTTTGTTGGAAGGGGCCTTTAAAGGTCACCTAGTCCAACCCCCCCCGCAATGAGCAGGGACATCTACAACCAGATCAGGTGGCTCAGAGCCCCGTCCAACCTGACCTTGAATGTTTCCAGGGATGGGGCATCTACCACCTCTCTAGGCAACTTGTTCCAGTGTTTCACCACCCTCATTGTAAAAAATTTCTTCCTTATATCTAGTCTAAATTTACCCTTTTACTTTAAAACCATCACCCCTTGTCCTATTGCAACAGGCCATACTAAAAAGTCTGTCCCCATCTTTCATATAAGTCTCCTTTAAGTACTGAAAGGCCACAGTAAGGTCTCCCCAGAGCCTTCTTGTCTCCAGGCTGAACAACCCCAACTCTCTCAGCCTTTCTTCATAGGAGAGGTGCTCCAGCCCTCTGATCATTTTTGCAGCCCTCCTCTGGATCTGCTCCAACAGGTCCATATTTTTCCTGTGCTGAGAACTCCAGAGCTGGACGCAGTACTCCAGGTGGGGTCTCACCAGAGCAGAGCAGAGGGGCAGAATCACCTCCCTTGACCTGCTGACCACTATTCTTCTGATGCAGCCCAGGATGTGTTTGGCTTTCTGGGCTGCAAGTGCACATTGCTGACTCCTGTCCAGCTTTTTGTCCCCCAGTACTCCCAAGTTCTTCTCCTCAGGGCTGCTCTCAATCCCTTCATCCCCCATCCTATATTGATACTGGGGGTTGCCCTGACCCAGATGCAGGACCTTGCACTTGGCCTTGTTGAACCTCATGAGGTTCATATGGGCCCACTTCTTGAGCTTGTCCAGGTCCCTCTGGATGGCATCTTGTCCCTCAAGTGTGTCAACCACACCAGTCAGCTTGGTGTCATCGGCAAACTTGCTGAGAATGCACTCGATCCCACTATGTCATTGATGAAGATATTTAACAGTACTGGTCCCAATACAGACCCCTGAAGGACACCACTCGTCACCGATCTCCATCTGGACGTTGAGCTGTGGACCACTACCCTCTGGATGTGACCATCCAATCGATTCTTCATCCACCAAACAGTCCATCCTTCAAATCTATCTCTCGCCAATTTAGAGAGAAGGATGTTGTGGGAGACCGTGTCAAAGGCCTTACAGAAGTCCAGATAAACAGCATCCATAGCTCTTGCCTTGTCCACTCATGTAGTCACTCCATCATAGAAGGCCACTAGGCTGGTCAGGCAGGACTTGCCCTTGGTGAAGCCATGCTGGCTGTCTCGAATCACATCCCTTTCCTCCATGTGCCTTAGCATAGCTTCTAGGAGGATCCATTCTGTGATCTTCCCAGGCACAGAGGTGAGGCTGACAGGTCGGTAGTTCCCAGGGTCCGGGTGCAATGTTTCCCTTTTTCCAGTCATTGGGAACTTCACCTGACTGCTGTGACTTTTCAGATATCGTGGAGAGTGGCTTGGCAACTACATTAGCCCGTTCCCTCAGGACTCTGGGATGCATCTCATCAGTTATATTGCCTTTGATATAAGAAATAAAAAGAAGATGTGACTTTTGAATTAAGTATTCCTCTGAGGGGGATGCTGCTTAGTTAGGAGAGAATTTGGGATGGGAGATGCTTCATAGCTCATTTGCTCATCACAGCACCTCACAAGGGGTGAAGCTTTACTCTTGGGAGGCCAGTTTCTCCTCTCAGGTTCTCTACAAGCCAGTAAGGACTTGAGTGGCAGTGCCAAGACCTTGCCCAGTTTATGCAGTATGGCCTGCATGAGAGCTTTGAGTTGGGAGCATCTCTGTCCTAACTATTTTCCCCTGGCTAGAGGAACATACTGAAGACTGTTCATCTAACATTGTGGGTTTTGGTGTTGTTTTTTAACAGCTATTGAGAAAATCAGTCCTTATATTAAGCATTTTTAAATTATTCGTGCTTTTACATCTAACCCCACTGCACTGGGAGTATCAAATATGGCAGGTTGTCAAGGGCACAGATAATTGAGGGGAAGTTCAGGACCAAATCCCATATAGTAAGAAAATATTAATTGTTCCTTTGAAGGCATATAGGACCTCAGTTTGAAGACCTGAAATTAATCGGGGAGATGGACTTTATCTGAACTGCAACCTTACTCTTAGCAATTCTTAATGGATGTTTGAAGGCAAACTAGAGGTCAAACAAAAGTCCTACAAACTAAATTAGGTTAGTCATACCCTGAGCAAAAACTACTTAATTTGAATTTGTGGAAGCTATTTTATTTTATTTTATTTTATACTTCGATCAAAGCCTAAGAAGCTGTTAGTCAAAAATAATGATGTTTCTATACTTCTGTGTGTGCAGAACGCCATGCTGTTAATTAGGTAGTTTTGGTAACATTAGTAAATATTGTAAAATTGACCTGTAAATGAAAGACCAACAACACATTACAGATGAAGTAATGAAAGAATTAGAACTCCAGCAGATACTTTGTACCTTTCTATAACAAAAATACCAACACCGCATTTCCAGAATAATGCATGAAGTGCCCTCTTGTGTCCAAAGAAATTACAGCTATTGCTGAAGCTAGTCTGGATGTGTCCTGGTGGCACACAAGCATGTCGCAGATACTCTGTGTTTTCTGAGAATATGTAACACAAATGGGAAGCATATTCTATCTGACAATAAGAAAAGACAGTAATCTTAACTTATTTTGTTCATT